TGTCTCTCTCTGTCAAATAAATAATCTTAAAAAAAAATATTGATGTATATACTGACAAGACTATTCATCTTGTAAACACACAACATAGTGTTAATAAATATAGTACAGTACTATAAATGTATTTTCTCTTGTGATTTTTTTAAAGATTTTTTTTTTTAATTGGAGAGACAGAGCTAGAGATGAGGAGGAGGGGCAGAGGTAGCAGGAGAAGCAGACTCCCCACTGAGCAGGGAGCCTGATGAGAGGCTCAATTCCAGAACCCCGAGATCATGACCTGAGCCAAAGATAGATGCTTAACCAACTGAGCCACCCAGGTGTCCCTCTTATGATTTTTAAAATAACATTTTCTCTAGCTTACTTTAAGAAAACAGTATGTAATACATGTAACATATAAAATATGTGATAATCATCTATTTATATCAGTAAGGCTTCCAGTCAACAGTAGGCTAGTGGTAGTTGAGTTTTTAGAGAGTCAAAAGTTATGTGTATATTTTCAACTACATGCAGAGTGGGTAGGAGGATCAACGCGACTAACTCCCGCATTGTTCAAGGATCAACTGTATTCTAATTTTTTTTTAGTTCTTTTATAGTTTCACTTCTTGCATTTGAATTTTTAATCTTTACATTTTGTTTTATAGAAAAAGCAAAATAAGGACCTGGTTTTACTTTCTCCCCCTCAAATATAATCAAATAAAACATCAAATAGCCCATTTATTGAATAGATGATTCTTCCTGTTAATTTGAAATGTCATTTATGTTCTATACTAGATTTTCATATATACATGGGCCTGCTCTGGAATCTTCTATCCATATCCATTATTGTAGATTTGTGGTATATTTTGGTATCTAGTAGGATAAACAGAGATTTATTTTTTTAATTAATATATAATGTATTATTTGTTTCAGGGGCACAGGTCTGTGATTCCTCAGTCTTACACAATTCACAGCGCTCACCATAGCACATACCCTCCCCAGTGTCCATCACCCAGCCACCCCATCCCTCCCACCCCCAACCACTCCAGCAACCCTCAGTTTGTTTCCTGAGATTAAGAGTCTCTTATGGTTTGTCTCCCTCTCTGGTTTCATCTTCATTTTTTTTGTCTCTTCCCCTATGATCCTCTGCCTTGTTCAGAGAAGGATTTTAAATATGCTTTATTCTCTGAAAGCAGCATTGTATCAGCCCAATCTAGACTAGGTAAATTAACAAACAAAACATAAGTTTATCACATTAAAAAGTTTAAATATTGATATACTGGGTATTATTCTTTCAGAGTGTGTTAAATAGACATTTAATATGGAGAATTGCCTTTTCTTTCGTGACATCTTGTTCAGTTAAAACAGAACAAAAAGTTTTGTGTATAATACCGATTCTGTATTAATTGCCGGTAAGCACATTGTCAGTAAACATATACATTTTGCAATTCTTTTTTTTTCCATGTTGCCTTGATTTTACTTACTGAACGTAATTTTATATCTGTTGACTCTAGTAAGAAGAATTCTGGGTTTGTAATTTGAATGTCTGTCATCACATTTTCATAATAATTCATTTTTGTTGTATTTTACAAAAGTAGTGATCTGTGATGGATTAGAAAGTTTTTTTTTAATGGCCTTTCACTATAGAGTTTGAGAAGCAAACTAGTTCTAGAGAGCCAACCAATTTCAATTTCCAATTGTTTGCTGCTATAAACATGATTGATTTGTGTCAAAAATTGAGTCTTATTATCCTATAACCCTGCTAAATTCGCTAAGTAGTTCCAGTCACCTTTTTGTAGTTTCCTTAGGATTTTCTACACCAATAATTTATATTATCTGAAAATAGAGAATTTATTTCTTCCTTTCCAATCTGATGACTTATTTCCTTTTCTCGCCTTTTTTGTACAGGCCCTTAGGACCTCCAGTACAATGCTGAATCAAGGTGGCGAGTATGGACATCCTTGCCTTATTTCCAATCTTAGTGGAGAAAGCATTCAGTCTTTTATCCCCATTAAGTATGGCCTTAGATATAGGTTTTACATAGATGTCTTCTTTTCATGTTAGAGAAATTCCTTTCTAGTCCTAGCTTGCCAAGAGTTGTTGTTGTTTAATAAAAAAATGAGAAGTTAGATTTTGTCAGAAGCTTTTTTTGTATCTATTGATATAATCATATGTTTGTTTTAGTCTGTTAACATGCTGAACTCAATGATATTTATATGTTAAACTAATCTTGTATTATTGGGATAAACTCCATTTGGTCACATGTATTACTGAATTCAATTTTCCAAAACATTGTTGAGGATTTTTACATGTATCTACATGAGAGAATGGTCTGTAGTTTTATTTTTGTTTTCATTTATAATAAAATATCTTTGGCTTTGTTACCAAGTAATGTTTGTTAATGCTCATAGAATGAATTGGAAAGTGTGCCATCTCTTCTATTTTCTAGAACAGTTTGTGTAGAATTGGTATTGCTTCTTTCTCTTTGGTAGAATTCTCCAGTGAAGGCTTCTAAGAATTTCCCTCATGAAACTACAAATTCAATTTCTTTGATATAGGGGATTTCTAGTTAGCTCCAACATGTAAAGAGCTTGGAAGTTATCACTCCCATCCTTACAACAAGAAAACACTAAACAAAATAAAAATCAATAATCTTGCATCTGTTAGAGAACTGAGGTCTCAGGTCAAACCATCACCCTGAAATCTGGAGATAGAGGTGAATCCAGAGAGTCACAACTGAGATTTGCTTGCCTAGAGCAGAAGCCACTAGAGCCATAAATCCGTAGGGATACTTAAATGCTAATTTTGACAAATTGCTGGAGTCTGATTGTGGAATAGCATAACAGTTAGAAATTCCTAAGACTAGCACACAATCTTAGGAGGCTCACATTTTTGTAGGTTTTACCGCCAGGAACACTACCAGAATCTCTGAATCAATCCTCCATGGCTCTGGCAGGGTAGGGGTAAGAGCAATCATTGTAAAATATGTCCAGTGCTCTCCATAACAAAGACCTACTCTCCAGAGAAAAAGATCTTATAAGAGCCTTATCCTATCTAGGGGAAAGGGCATTTCTTCCACTCTAGGCCCCTTTGTCTTTCCTGTCTTTCTTATGGGGGTAAAAAGCTAAGAGACACTTAGTCTAAGGATGCAGGCCCACTAAAAAAATTGAAAAAATTTTTTTTTAGAGAGAGAGAAAGCATCCGAATGCAGGGACCAGGGAGGGGGGCACAAAGGGAGAGGGAGAGAGAGAATCTCAAGCAGGCTCCACGCTCAGCGAGGAGCCCAATGTGGGGCTCGATCTCAAGACCCTGAGATCATGACCTGAGCTGAAATCAAGAGTCGGATATCCAAAGGACTGAGCCACTCAGGTGCCCCTAAGAAACTGAAATTTAATCTTAAGGTTATAGGACACATTCTTTCTCTTACATCTTACTGTCACACCAATAGACTTCCAATATAATAACAGTGGATTATAGCTGAAAGAGCTGTAAGACACAGACTTTTTTTTGATGAAGAGCACACAGGGAAGCCCAAAGTCAAGGGAGCAGAAAAAACAAGGCCACTAGAGGAATCTGAAGCCTCTGGTACTGAGAGCTGCAACAAACATTAAATACACTCCAACTCTTGCCCAGATTAACATAAAACTTACACTAAAACCCTATTTCAGTTCCTGTTATTCAATATACGATGTCCAGCTTCTAATAAATAATTATAAGGCATGTTAACAAGAAAAAACATAGTCTGAAGGGATATTCAGATTTTTAATTTCTTCTTGAACTTTTTTTTAAAGGAATTTGTCCATTTCACCTAAGTTTTAAATTTATTGGCATTAAGTTGTTTTTAATACTCCATTTTTATTTAATAAATGTAGTATCTGTAGTGCTAGTCATAATTTATACCTTCTTTTTTTCCTTATCAATCTGGCCAGAGCTTTATCAGTTTTATGGATTTTCTCAAAGAACCAGATTTTTGTTTTATTGAAATTCTCCATTGTTTTTCTGCTTTCTGATTTTTGCTCTTCTCTTCATTACGTCCTTTCTTCCACTTATTTTAGCCTTAGTTTGTTCCTCTCTTTCTAGTTTAAGTAGAAGCTTAAGTCATTGATCTTAATATCTAATATAAGCTAAAATTAGTGCTAAAAATTTCACTCTACTCCCTCAGGTACTTTGCTTTGGCAACTATCCCCCCATCTCCTGCATCATCAATTTTCCCCTTTCCACTGAGTGATTCCCATCTTTACACATACATGCTGTTATAATGATTTATTATTGGGGGGGTAGAAACACACTCTCTGTTGCCCCCTCATCCTCCTCAGGCTATCATCCCTTTCCCCTACTATATCTATAATGGTTATCTGTCCTTGATATGCTATGTCTTATGTCCTTATAATATACTCCATTTAGGTATTCACCCCTACACTAAAATTCTACCTCTCCATATGTAATCATCAATTCTTACTCCTCATCTTGCTCATTATTCAACAGCATTTGACATACTTTCCCCTCTCAGGCCATCACACTCTCCTGATTTTCCTTCTTTCCTCAGTGGACAACTCCACCTCCCCTTTCCAACATCTCAATTGGAGAGCCCCAGGGTTCAGTCCTCAGTCCCACCTTTTCCTCTGGATCTATATCCATTACCCAGGTGCCTTTCATCTACTGCTAAAATTTCAAGTATCATGCACTCAAGCTATTCTATATTATTTCATAATTGGTAATACATTAGGTAATATTTATGTGTTCTAATCCAGGCAGTTAGATTGTATGTTCCCGGAAGATAAAGATCTCCACCATTTTGTTCTTTTCCATCCTTTTAAAGTATCTAATACAGTGTTCTGTGCATGGTAGGCCCTGATTAAACACTACAAACCCCATCTCCGATTTTGCTCAAGCACTGAAAAATGAATGGTTTTACTACTAGGTAGAAGAAGAATTTACAGTGATCCACACTTACACAGCAAGTACCTCCTATTACTGAGTCTTAAAGCTGGGACCCCTGCTCAGGGCTCAGCATCTATTATGGTCACCTGAGAATGTGTCAAATCCTTAAAAATTCTTTTACTGCGACTGAATCCATAAGCCAGTTGAGTGGTTGAGTGGTTCATCTATTCAGCATTTTCAATGAGGTGAAGATAAACTATATACTTCTTTCCACTGGAGGTTTCTCACATGTTGAGGCTGGACACAGGGGAAGTCCTTGTTCCAACTAAATACCAAACAAACAACAATTAAACTAGAGCCACAGTTTCAGTGGGGAAGGGCCAAACAAATTGCACACAAATCTGGGCTGTTACCTAAGAAATGTACACCTCTTCCACTGGTTTACAGTGAGGACTAAAAAGCTCTTGGTCCCTGAGGATATTTCATCTAATAACACAGTCAAGATAAATCTAGAGCAGCCTCATTTCAAACCAGAGTGAACAGGCATCACATGGTTTGAGTTTCAGGCCATAACAATTCTCTATATAGCCTGTCGGTAAAAGCCAAGCTCAACCCCTTCACTGCACTGTCTCCACACCAAGGGGAGAAAAAAACAAAAGGACTCCATGGGTTGCTCAGGGTCACTGGGTAAAAACTAAACTTTACTCTCCTTATCAACCAACTGCCATCTTTAGCCACTAATATGTGATATTCTATAAATTCCCTGTTTTACAATTACTTAGAGTAGATTTTTCAGGGTGAGTTTCCAGGATCTTTGAGAATAATCTTCCACTTGGTTTGAGACATCTCAAAGAACTTCTCTGCACCAAACTGTTTCTGAACACACAAAAATGAAATAGGCCTTATGAATTTTAAGGTAACAAAGATTTCTCTTTAAAAAGTCTCAGAGCTGACCAGTCATAAACAACAGAATATATAGCCAAGTCTTATAAGAGACAAAAAGTGTAACAACAGATACTGAAGAATACACTGCTCCAAAGAAGAGGACACATGGGAAACGAGTAGTGCCAAACAATACTTTTATTGTTCACTGAAAAATACAGGTCTGGAAAGAGTCTACTGCATTGTGTATTGAATGCAAGTCCTGATATTACAAGTATATATGACATAACAGCATAACTTATATAAAACGATACATATTGTATACTTATATAAAAGGATACATATAGCAGCCACCTCTCTAAACACTAGAATTTAATAGAAGTAATGCCTTTTATTAAATAAGAACTGAAAACATTGCAATCATAAACAAAATGCTCTAAGCAAAGCACTTTAAAATTGTTTTTTTGTGATATCTACTTTGTCCACCTGGAGTTAAGAACAGTAGGACCCAACAAAAAGTTAACCAATGAGAGCTAGCAATTTCAAGGAGCTCTTCCCAGGGAGCAGGCTGCTGCTGCTGCCCAAGACAGACTGCCACTCTGTCCTCCCTGGAGCCCTCAGGCCCACAGTGACTGCTAATTCTGCCTCGGGGCTAGTCGGAGGTGACTGCAAAGTGGAGGAGTACACATACGAGGAAGTTCCTGTCACAACTGCTTATCCTGCACCCAACTCTATGGACAAGAACACCTAGTATTTTTGATGTGAATTTGCCACTCTCAGCCAACACTGAAATGTGCTTTAAAAAAAAAAATTAACAATGAGAACAAAAGCCATTCTCTATGCAATCTGCAGTTTTCATCATTTCTTCCTTTCAACCACGTTTTCATTAGATAGATGCTCTAAAAGAGGCTGCTACTACTATATTATCAGCCAGGCAGGCCAGGATTGAGGTAACAAAACTTCTCCAGTTACAACTAACTTAAATGAATAAAAGATAAATGCAAATTTATTAGAGAGCAACAAAATCAATCTCTATTAATCACATGGCAAAATATTCAAGCACTGCAACAATATTCACATTCCAAGGTCAACTTTAATTATACCATTTCCTTCCAAATTGAGAAACCTTTGTGTGGAGGAGAACATAAAATATCAACACCACCTCTTCCTCTTCAAATACTATCAGGGCTCAGAAGGCTCCTCATAGACAACAAATGTGGAGAAAAAAAAAAGGCATCTCAGTCTATACACAGCAACAGAGAAAAACCATACTCTCCCTCTGGGCGCCCTTGGCATCAGGCAAAGCAGGGCTATTTGTAAAAATAGTGCCTAAACTGATTATGGCAATGCTCACATTTTAAGAGAAATCAGCAGTACAAAGTTCCTTTATTTAGAGGGCATCAGAGATTATTAAATAATTTCTTCAGGCAAGAGTCTCACCAACAAAGAAAAATTTCCTCTTGCCTGACAAGTTTTTATAAATGAGATTTTACAGTATCCCAGCTTCTTTACTTAATATTAGACCATTAATGCTCATATTTTTCAATACTTTACAGATCAAATATTTTATCAGACTATCCATTTAAGAGATTTGTAAGTCAATAGTGATAACCAACTACACATTTTTCTTATTCTGTCCATCAAAGAACACCACGTTCCGACAGGATTAAAGCCCAGCTCCATGGGTATCTCATTCCCCCCAACTCTGCACAGTAAATTTCACTGTTCAGTCTCTCAGTCCTTGACTCTTCCTATGACTCTTCCAGTCTAAGGAAAATCCTGTAAAATGGTGAAAAACCACAAACTCCAATGGAAGCACTGGTATCAGTGTTGAGAAGTAAATTTTAGGGGAATAACTATAATTGCTAGGGACTGCTTACAGCCTTGCTGGAAATCCTATTTCTCTTGAATCCCTAGATTGAGAAATTCTAGTTATTTAACCATGGGAAGGGATTTCACTGATAAAGGTCTAGTTCATGTGAGAGGTTCTGGCCCTGAAATGATGTGTGGCTAGCTCAAAATATTGGCCACTTTTCCATTTTAAACATGTTCATTATTCTTCCCCACCACAGTACTGTCAAATTCTTCCATCTGTCATGGCACTGGTGAGCCCTCTCATTGCTGCTCCTATTTCTTTTGGATGTTCTGTACACGTGGGATCCACTGAGCTTATCACTTTAATGTGTAGGGAATTTTCATTTCACACCATCCGCTCCCTAAAAGCTATCAACTGGGAACAATTTCTAGTTAGTAAAGGCACAATTCACTGGCATTTCCTCTTTATAAAAGAAATCAAAAGGGTTGCCTAGAAGCTGAACAAACACCTTGGGTATTCCTAGAAAGGGAAGGTTATAGCTGCTACTAAAACCCATAGACATTTGCTAGATCTAAAGATTATATGGATTTCGTAAAAGCATGAATTTGGCAGTTTAAGACATTTTCAATTTTACACTACCTCACTTAGGGGGAAGGGGGTGCTGGTTAGTATCACAGGAGCAAATTAAAAGTGTCAACATCATTCTCTTGGCTTGTTTTCCTCATGCTTTTGATAAGCTTTCACCCGCGCTAGTGAAGTCTGTCCCAGGGCACATCACTCAGCAACCGGCAGAACTGCTCAGAGATAGCACACAGGCTTCACCTCAACCAGCCCCGCTCCCTGCTCTCAGCTGGTAAACACTGCCTTGGGATACAGCTCATGAAAAGCCTTAAACCCAGAAAAGACTTACAGAAGTTGCACAAAAATTCTTGGTTTATAATATCTTCCCAGAAATCAGAAAAAAATTGGTTTTTAGTTAAAGAAACGGAATCGATGCTCACAAAAATGTAATGCCTCAAGAAGCAAAATCTAGAGTAAAAACTACAGAAAAAATGCAGCTTGTTAATCAATAGCTGACTTTGGCTAAATTATCATAGTAAGTCAGTGCAATTTACTATTGCATGTAGAAGCCAACCTGCCATGTTCTCATAAAATAGGGTACTAGTAAAGAACATGAAAACGGTTCATAGGGATGAGAGCCCTTTAGCCTTTTGTGACTTCATAACTTAACAGACAAAGGCCAAGCAGGATTTGACATTGACAGATTTCCCTGCTCAGCACAAGCTGAGTTGAGAGACAGCTAAACATCTGACTTTTATTCATTTATGGTGTTCTTAGAAAGTTCCTATTTGGACACCGATAGTTCTTAAATTGGCTGCATATCAGAGTCATCTGGGAAGCTTTTAAAAATTACCAAATTCCCAGAGGTGCCTGGGTGGCTCAGTCGGTTGGGCGTCGGACTTAGTTTCAGCTCAGGTCATGATCTCAGGGTCCTGAGACTGAGCTCCACATGAGGCTCCACGCTCAGCGCAGAGTCTGCTTGTCCCTCTCCCTCTGCTTATCCCCCCTCCTCAAATAAATAAAATCCTAAAAATTACCAAATGCCCAGACCAAGTAAATGTGGAAGGCGGAGCCCAGATAACAATATTCCATGTACTTCCCCAGGTGGTATTCTAATGTACAGCCAGGACATGTACATCCGCTAACACATCCCTTTCAGAGAGCTGTTGTGTGAAAGTCCGATTTTATCTAGATGGTTTTGTTTTTTCTCAATTCTACCAGGAAAAGGAATTTTTAGAAAAAGGCACAGTTGTGCTTCCTCTAAAGATGCAGCTTACTGTTTGACAGGTGCTGGTTCTCAGAGGTTATCTGGAGCGCTGGTTGAAAAGGAGGAAGTCCTTGTCTTGGCAGAGTAGGCAGAATTTCAGGCTTCGGCAGCTGCCTCCAGCAACAAAGAATGCCCAGATGCCCATAAGTACCATAATTATATATGTTGACACCAGATTGATTCCATAATGAGGACTTATGAAGGTCTGCAAAAGAAAAATAAATCAGCTTGTGTAATAACAGTGAGCTTATTGAACATGCAGAGTAACCAAAGATAAAGGAAAATATAGGCTACTTTCAACAGCTGGGCTGTGTTTCACCAAACACATCATGTCTGTCACATACTGAGTACCACAAAGACACAGAACCAACCTTGTCAACAGACACTAGCCCATGGAAGTGTGCTTTCCTATATTCAAATGGAAAACCTAGAGAGTAACTAGAAGTCAGAATCTAATGGAATACCCAATGGAAGATACATGTTATACAAGTTGAGCCCAGTTTGTAATAACTTCTGTATCAACTGGCTCTTACAATTTGCAAGAAAGTAAGACAAGTCCAAGTTACTTTAGGATGAATCCTTAGTATTCAAGGGAACATGAGGGAATAGCATCTTTTTTCACCTGCACAATTGCTGAGGGTTCTAAAAGTTCATTTAAAAAAACACTGATGGAATGTCAAGAGGTATTGTGTTACACAACACTGAAGACCAGAATATCTGGTCTAAGAGTATCTATCCTAGAGGACCAGAGTATCTAAGAGTATCTATCCTAATGGAGCTTATATGCTAGTAAGAGACAAGTAATGAATGAAGAAACAAATAAATGAATCAAATAATTACACATTATGATGAATGCTAGATAGGATAATCATAATTGTTATGGTGCTAGATAGGTAAGAACAAGGTGGTCTACTTAGGTTGCTCAGGGGAAGTCCTGAGGAAGTGGCATTTAAACTGACATATAGTTGGAAGAGAGGGCCAGCCTTGTGTAGACTGAGGGAGGGAACCACAGGAGGGCAAAGAGCTTGGTGCAGCTGAGAACCTGAGAAGAATGTTATTAATGATGTGTAGAGATGCAGGGGCAGCACAGGAGATGAGGTCAGAGAGGAAGGCAGGAACCAGTTATGCAGCACATTGGTAAGAAGTGTAGAGACTTTATCCCCAGTGCAATGGAGGGTCACAGAAGGGGTCAAGGTAGGGGAGCTGAGTGACTTGATTTAGATGTTTAAAACTGCACAGAATGGGTTAAAGGAGGCAATGGTGAAACAAGGGAGACTCGTTAAGAAGATTTTACACTGGTTGAGGAGAGTATAGGATGGTGACTTAGACCAGGGTGGCGGTAGTAGAGATGGACAGAGTGGGCGTTATGAACTGACAGGACTTGCTGATGGATGGAATGTGAGGGAAGGGGGCGCAAAATGATTTCCATGTTTATGGCTTTTGGTAAGTGGTGGTGCTATTTAACAAGATGACAAAGACTTGGGGAAAGACTATGCTCAGAGTGATGGGTAAGAATCAAGCCCAATGAGGACAAGCTAAGAGTGACATGCCTGCGAGATTTCAAAGGACAGATGCCAGGAAAGCATTAGGCATATGAATATGGGGCTGAGAGGAGAGGCTTGGGCTAGAAAAAGGAATATAGAAACACAGCCCATAGACAGCCATAGCTCTGAATGCAGTTACCTAGGGAGCTATTACAGAGAGAAAGGAAAGGAGAAGTCAGGACCAAGCTCTGAGAATATTTATAAATTTTTTGTGCTGTTTAGTATCACAGGAACAAATTAAAAGTGTCAACACCATTTTATCGGCCTCTTACTGAAAAAGAGTCAGCAAAGGGGAGGGGTAAGAGGAAAGCCAGGACAGTGTGATGTAGAAGTCAAAAGGGAAAGTGTTTCACAGAGAGAGTGGTCAACTCCTTTAAAGGCTGCTGAGATGAAAACAAGAACACCAATGTCCACTGGATTTGGAGAAACAGAGGTCTTCTTTGATCTTGACAAGTGCAATTTTAGAAGGGTAGTTGAGCAGAAGCCAGATTGGACTAGAAGTATGAGAGGTGGAGAAGTGGAGACAAAATTAGTGGAGGTAACTCTGAGAAATTTTGCTGCAATGGGGCACAGAATAAAAAAAAAGGAGTGATGGCTAGATGGGGGAAAGGCAATAGTGGAGAGTTTTAAGATATGTCTATATGCTGATGCAGAGAGGGAAAAGCCGGTGTGTGGGACTGAGGGCACAAACAGAGTGAAGTCCTTGTAGCGGAGAACTGGATCTAGAGCCCAGGTGGAGGGACTGGCCTTCGAGAGAAGGAGGGATACTTCCTTTCCTGGGTGACAGTAATGTGGAGAGATGGGCTCCCAACTAGCCCAATGCTTACACTTAACAAAGGAGAGGATCTGATTGGATCAACCTGTCACCATAGACCCCTGCCGATAACATAGGGCTTCAGGGGGAGTGCCTCCATGGCTAGTCAGTGTTCTTACTCTCACCCTACCTGCACATGCCCCTAGTTAAGATGCCGACCCTGCCTATCAGCTCTGGTCAGGAAAATGAGCTGATTTTGCAGGTGGCACCTTGTGCAGAAAAAGTGCTTTTCTCAAGAGGCATCTGTGGGCATGGCAGGCATTGAGCATTTTCTGGATTCTTCAGAAATCCACTGAATTTTAATTTACTTCACAGGGTGCTAAGTTCTTTTGTATTTCTCTTTGGTTTCTTTAAAATTTTTTCTCCTTTAAACAATTACAGAAGCAATATGTGATTGTTTTAGAAAATTAAAATACACAAATGAGTAAAATAACAAATTTTAAAACCTGAAATTCAGATAGGTTAATATTTAGTGAGCAGAAAACAAAAACTGCAAATGATAAAGCAAAATTGATCAAACTACATTAAAAGAAGAACTTTTGCTCATTAAGAAAAACAACATAAAGAGGATGTAAAGATAAACCACACTGTAGAAGTTATTTACAGTAGGTACATCTGACAAAGACCTTTTCTAGAGAATACAGAAAAAACTCCTAAAAATAAAAAAGACAACCCAATAGGATTATAGGCAAAAGATTTGAACAGGCACTTCACACAAGAATTATCCAAATGGCCAATAAATATATGAAGACATGCTTAATCTCATTAATCACTAGGGAAATGCAAACTAAACCCACAATGTGATACCACCATATACCCAGAGGGATGAGTAACAATAAAAAGCATGACATACTAACTGCTGGTGATGAGGGGGAGGAACTGTTACTCACAAATTAATAGTGGGGATGTAAGTTGATACAATTACTCTGAAAAACTGAGTGGTGCGAACAGTTGACATATGTCCACCCCATGACCAGCAATTCCACTCCTAGGCACATATCACATATATCCAAAAGAAATGTGTACATATATTAAAAAGAGACATATACTAGAATGCTCAAAGCATTACTATTCACAACAGTTAGAAGTTGGAGACACCATTTCTGCTGTAGAATGGACAAAGCAAGGTACAGTCACAAAGTAGAATACTATACTGCAAAAAATGAGCAATTAATAGCTATATACACAGATGAATCTCACAAACATGATATTGAGTGAAAGGAGTCAGGCACAAGAGCAAAGACTAAATGGTACTGTTTACATAAAATACCAAAAGGCAAGACAAGCTGTAGTGTTAGAAGTCAGGACCATGGTAGGAGGCTTGTGGGCGCTGATAATGTTTTAGTTTTCATTTGGGTTTGAGTTACATAGGTTACATTCCTCAAGATGTATGCTTCTGATCTGTATACTTTTCTGTATGTGTATTTTAATAAAACAATTACTTAAACATCCTCTGAAATATGCTATTCAGAGATAACCACTGTTAACATCTTGGTATATAATCTTTCAAATTTCCCAGGTTCTTTTTATTTTAGTTCATTTTCCAGGGTTCTTTTTAATCATTAAAGAGAAGATCAACTATTCAATACTTAAAAACATTTATTGGATTGAAGATAAAGATTGATAAGGTCCCATCCTTGATGACCAAACTCTAGTTGGAGAGATATAAGAACTACGTAAATATAAAATAATGCTGAGGATAAGTGTTATAACACAGATATGAATTAAGGGCTAATGATTGTGCTGAGTCTGGAACATGCACCTTTTCCAGGGAGGTTTCACACTGAATGAATACTTTTCCAAACTGACCTAGGTTAAGGGGACATGAATCACTGCAGATAAAACATGGACAAGGCATGCCTGTTGGGTAACCATAATGGATCAATTTAGATGGAGTGCGTGATGTGAACTGTGGGGAGCAGCAAGAGGTAAGTTTTGCACCAGTGTGGTTGATAAGAGACTTAGGTCAAAGAAGTCTGGGTTTTATTCCATAGGCATCTGCTACAGCTGATCATTTTCTCCTCAATACATTTGGCTGCCAGGACACCTGGCTTCTGATTTTCCTCCAACCTCACTAGTGGCTCCTTCTCAGTCTCCTTTGCTGGCTCCTCTTTCCCCAGTCTCAATGTGGGAGCGTCCCAGAGCTCAGTCCTTGGGCGTCTCTTCTTGTCTGCTTAAACTTACTCCTTATAATCACCTTTTTTGGCCTGGATTTCTCTCCCAAATTCCAGACTTTTTCATCTAACTGCCCAACGACCATTTGGATGTCCAACAGGCACTTCTATTACATTTATAATGTGCTCAGATAAACTCCTGATCTCCCCATCCCAGACGATAGCAAGTCCATCCTTCTAACTGCCCAGGCCAAAACCCTGGAAACACCCTTGGCTCTTCTTCTTTCTCTCCTATGCTTTATCCAGTCTGTCAGGAAATACTGTTGGCTCTACTTTCAAAAACATGTCCTCAACCTGATCATTTCTCATTATATCTATTGCTATTTCACCCAAATTATCACCATCCTCCTCTCTTTTTTAACATATATTGCATTATTTGTTTCAGAAAGTACAGATCCGTGATTCAACAGTCTTGCACAATTCACAGCGCTCACCATAGCACATACCCTCCCCAATGTCTATCACCCAGCCACCCAATCCCTCCCACCCCCAACCACTCCAGCAACCCTCAGTTTGTTTCCTGAGATTAAGAATTCCTCATATCAGTGAGGTCATATGATACATGTCTTTCTCTGATTGACTTATTTCACTCAGCATAACACCCTCCAGTTCCATCCACGTCGTTGCAAATGGCAAGATCTCATTCCTTTTGATCACCATCCTCCTCTTGATGACTATAATCTTTTCCCCTGCTACAGTTTACTCTTAACACAGCAAAGTGATCCTTTAAAAATGAGTCAGATCATGTCCCTCTCCTTAACACCCTACAATGACACCCATTTCACTGAGAGTAAATGTCAAAGCCCTGCATTATTATTTAGATGTGGTTCTCACTTCCAACCTCTACTTCCCTCCCACCTTCAACTCCGTGATAGTATTTCCTACTAACTTTCCCCTGGCTCACTCTGTTCTGGCCACCCTTAGTTCCAAAAACATGCCAAGCAAGTTCTTTGATCTTAGGACTTTGCCACTGGCCGTGCAGTCCAGGATGCTCTTTCTCCAGACAGTCACATGACCAATCTACTTCACTTCTTTGCTCAAATGTTACCTTCACAATGAAGCCTACTCTGACCACCTAATTCAAAAATTTGACATCTCCTGCCTCCTTATGCTCTGGATTCCTTTCAACCTGCTCTAGTGTCCACAGCACCTATCACTATAAAATTTATTATTTATTATGCCTACTGCTTAATGCCTCTCGCCCCACTAAACTGTAAAAACAGATCTTTGTTTTGTTCACTAAACTGCTTTGTTTACCTAGAACAGTGCCTGGAACACAGAAGGCACTCAGTAAATATTTGTCAAATGAATGAATAGCCGATTGGGTCTATAAAAAGGACATCTGCTTTTTCATGTAATTTCCTTTCTGATTATAAAAGTGTACATTGTAGAAAATTTGAACATGCCAAAAACCATAAAGTAAAGAATCCACTCAGAGATAAATGCTGTTAATATTTTAATGCAGTCTCTTTCCAGTCTTTTTTCCAATAAAGACTTGGCTTCACATAATTGCCATCATATTAAAGGTAACTTTAGTATCCTGCACCACTGAAAGGTTTTAGGTAGGGGAAGCAGTAAGATTACATTTTTATCTATCTATCTATCTATCTATCTATCTATCTATCTATCTATCTATCTATCTATCTTTTAAGTAATCTTTAATGCCCCACTTGAGGCTCGAACTCATGATCCTGAGATCAAGAGTCACATGCTCTACTGACTGAGCCAGCCAGGCATCCTTGTAAGACGGCACTTTAGATGTATCAGAGGTCAAGGAGCCCAGTATGAGAAAACCTGATACAAATTCTAAATGGATGGAGAAGAGAGAAACATGAGGCAGGACACCACCAGAAAGAACCTTTTCAATACTTGGAGGTGAGAAATCATAAGGGTCTGGACAAGGCAGTGGTGAGGATAATTCTGATGTAAATATCTAACAAATCACAATGAAAGTCAGACCCAAAGCATTAAATAGTTCTTAAAAAATATATCTAGTCAAGCTTTCCTTTTAAATTTTATTTTGAAAACTGGCATACTTAGAATTTCAGTGTGGAGGGAGTAAATTTGGCACTCTTGTTATTGATCAGAATGAGCAAAAATGGTACAACCTTTGTGGAGAGTCTTTTAGCAATTGACATCAAGGATTTTAAAAATATTCATGCCATTTAATTTCATATTTTCATTCCCTGGCATCTAAATATCATATTGAAAAACTTTCATGTACAAAGATGTTCAAGATAGCATTATAAGAAGCAAAAGTAGAAAAAGATGTTATCAGTCAGTTAAGTAAACTGTAATATAATTTTGATGTAATAATATAAGGCTATTAAAATTTACATACTAAAAGGATTTATAATATCATGGAAATTGTTTAAGATGTGTTACATAACATAATAATATAAGATGACTTCAGGTTTGACTATACCCATAAAAGAAAGATACATAGAAAAAATTTTTTAATGAAATCAACCAACAAATAGTTGCTTTTTTCTGTAGGAAGACTTAGATGATTTATTTTTCTACCATTCACTCATTCACGCAGTCAACAACTTTTTGGAATTTCTTCATTTGACCATGAGCATGTATTTCATTTAGAGTGGAACCTACCATTGTAGATATGGGAACTTGAGTTCCAAAAAACAATGCGAGCATGGTGGCAATACTCACCAGGGCTGACACCAGCAGATGGGTCAGAAGAACTACAAGAAGGGCAGACCACTTTTTCTTCTCGCAGCCATCAAAAAATATGATGCCCCAGAACACGTGCAGCAATATGATAACCAGTGTCATGAAAGCTGAAAGACAGTCATCCATTAGTGTCCAGTCATATAGACAACAGATGCCAAAGCCCACTGACCACCTGCTCATGATACACAAGCTCTTGGGGTATGCCACACCACTGTGAGAATTTAAACACCACCTGTCAGAACCAGGACCCTGACACACGTTTGCTCAAATAGTAACTTGGAAAGCAACACTTCTGAACACAGGGTCAGCTCTGCAGCAGCTTCTGATCGAGAATGTGAACGTGTTAAAGCTAAAGTCAGCTTGGATCTGGCTTTCAAGGAGTTTCTCCTGGGAAGGGATAAAACTAATGTTGTGTCCAATCAAATCTTTCCAAATTAGCCTTCTGCATTTTCCTCAATTAAATGGAGTATCTTCAATTTAAACAAGTCTTGGGGCGCCTGGGTGGTTCAGTCGTTGGGCGTCTGCCTTTGGCCCAGGTCATGATCCCAGGGTGCTGGGACAGAGCCCCTCATCGGGCTCCCTGCTCAGCAGGGAGCCTGCTTCTCCCTCTCCCTCTGCTGTTCCCCCTGCTTGTGCTCTCTCTGTGAAATAAATTAAATCTTAAAAAAAAATTTTAAACAAGTCTTCTCACTAAAGTGGAATTTCTCCTGTGCTCTTTCCTTTTTTTTTAAAAAAAAAGGCCAATGGAAGAATAAAAATATTAAAAATTGCAATAATTATCTTAGATTCTTCTTAGGCAACCAAAACTTAATTTGATCAGCACACCCAGGTTTTTCTGTGGAATAGTGTGTGTGTGTGTGTGTGTGTGTGTGTGTGTGTGTGTGTGTGTCTCCTGTGCCCTGAAAACATTATTTAAAATGGGCAAATCAATTTTCCTTTTCAGCCACATAAGATAAAATTAACACCCACCAATCTGGCAGAAATTCAAGTCTGAAAATTCTCTTTCACACTGCAGATAGGAAAACAATCTAGCATTACCTAGTAAAGTTGAAAATATGTATTCTCTATTTCATTCCAGCAATTCCACAGCTAGATCTATACTCTGAAGCAGCTGGTTCTTGTATCAATAGATCACTAGTACCTGAGAACTTGTTAGGAATGCAAACTCTTGGGATCCACCCCAGACCTCCTGAATCAGACAATGAGCCCAGCAACCTGAGTTTAAACAGACCTGCAGGTGATTCCAATGCACAAATTTGAGAACCACTGCTCTGGAAAAACTAACATATTTTGCACAGAGATATATACAAGAATATTTATATCAGCACTGTTTGTAACAAAAAATTTTCAACATTACCAGAATGGGAGACTTGTGGTGTATTCACACAATGGTATATTATATGATCTATAATATAAATGATCTCAAGAATATAATGCTGAGTGGGGAAAAAAACATATTGTGGGAAAACGCCTATTACTTATACAAAGTCAAAAACATCCAAAAACAATATTAAAAGTACATAACTACTGTGGCTGGAGGAAAGCAAGTTGTTCTGTCTAGTGATAGTGTGCTATCATTTCAGTAAATGATGGTACATACTTTAAAGTACAGGAGGGATTTTAAAATATATAACTTTGGGATGAGGGTAGACTAAAACTCAAATGACATAAAGCATCTTCCTGCTAAAAAACGTCTTTGATGGATTGATACTGTGTCCAAAGTAAAGTCCAAATATCTCAGATTACCATCCAAGGCCCTCTACAACCTAGACCCAAATTATTATCCTTTACTAATCTTCAAATATAACCTATATGGTAGAAAACCGGAACTCTTATACTCTATGTCTCTGTGTTTTTACTTATTTCTTTAACTGATCGTCCCTTCTGCCTGAATACTCATCACCTCCCTGCCATTTCACCATATCCAAATCTTACTTTAAGATCTAACTAAATGCCATCTCCTTGGTGAATTCTTTCTGACATCTACTCTTCATTTTTTTAAGAATACTCAGCACACATTTACTGAGTACCTGGATAGTTTGGCCTGAAGATGTTGTGCAAGAGCTCAGGAGTCACACAATCCTGAGATGGAATGCCAGCTCCACGGTATGGCTTTGGGCAAACTCTTTAACCTAACCTCCTTCACCTTCTGTTCCCTTTATTTCTAAAATGGGGACAATGATACCTCATAGGGCTGTTGCAGGGAAGAACAGTGCTTTGTAAACCACAGCTTTTCAATAAATGATACTACTATGTGCTACAGTCCCCAGATTCAAAAATGAATATGGCAGGACCTTTAGTGAGTTGTACCATCAGACGGGAAAGTGAGGCAAAGCACCAAGCAATAGAAATGTGGGTAGTATGCTATGTTTTAAAATGCACTCTTCTTCACTCTTACAGATTATTTCTTTCTCTGACCTTGTATTACTTTTATATTTATTTTCTTCCTCCCCTCTTTCCTTAATCCATACAGCAAGTACTTATTCGATGTCCATTATGCGCAGGCACTCTTCCGGGCACTGGGGCTATCACAGTGCACAAAACACCTTCGCTCATCCTTTCAGTGTATTGTTTTATTAACACAGTATCCAAAGGGGAGCTCTCAGACATTTGTTAAAACACTGCAAATTCTTACTTGACTGCTTAAATATTCACCTGGCATTAATTTCTGGCTGGCTTCCATGTCATCATAAGTCTTTACTATTAGAATGTGCCATTTAGAATATTGGGATTCATTGTTTATTCCCTCTGCAACTGGTCAGAGGTCCAACAGAAACTGAGACCTGAATATCTATTCTGCCACATACATATAGTTAGAGGTACATACAATTTTGATACTTTTCTCTAGTAAATGGAATTAATTCCAACTAGAAATGAAGATTTGCTAACAGTATCTCTAGGATACTATCTTTTAATTACTAAAACTTCCTCATTTCATGTTCCTAACTACAAAATTCTAAAAGTCCTTCAGTAAATCTAACTCTAAAATTTGCTTTGTTCTAATATTCATAAAAGTAGAAAAAAAACTCTCCAAATTCATCATAAAAATATCAAAATTCATTTATAATCCAGATTAAGAAAAGGAGCTTCCCTAATTTCAAGTGTTTTGGAACATTAATCAGAAATCTGAACAATTCTGGAGCACCTGGGCGGCTCAGTTAAACATCTGACTCGATTACAGTTCAGGTCATGATCTCAGGGTCGTGGGATTGAGTTCCGTGACAGGCTCTGTGCATATAGAGCCTGCTTAAGATTCTCCTCTCCCCCTCCCTCACCCTGTGCACGCTATCTCTAAAAGAGAAAGAAAGGGAAGAAAGAAAGAGAAAGAAAGAAAGAGAAAGAAAGAGAAAGAAAGAAAGAAAGAAAGAAAGAAAGAAAGAAAGAAAGAAAGA